TTTTGTATGTGTCAATCACGTAACATTCCTTAAATGACCTGCAATCAGTTCTGTGGGTGTGTTTTGTATGTGTCAATCACGTAACATTCCTTAAATGACCTGCAATCAGTTCCGTGGGTGTGTTTTGTGCGTGTCAAAAACGTAACATTCCTTAAATAGCCTGCAATCACTTCTGTTGGTGTGTTTTGTATGTGTTAATAACGTAACATTCCCTAAATGGCTTGTAATCAGTTCTGTACGTGTGTTTTGTGTGTGTCAATCACTTAACATTCTTTAAATGGCCTGCTATCAGTTCCGTGGGTGTGTTTTCCACGTGTCAAACACGTAACATTCCTTAAATGGCCTGCAATCAGTTCCGTGGGAGTGTTTTGTGCGTGTCAAAAACGTAACATTCCTTAAATAGCCTACAATCACCTCTGTTGGTGTGTTTTGTACGTGTCAATCACGTAACATTCCCTAAATGGCTTGCAATAAGTTCTGTACGTGTGTTTTGTGTGTGTCAGTTTACAATTTGTGAAAATCTGTATATCAGCATAAAAATATAATTTATTTATTTTTTTCGATTCTTTTTATGGGCAAATGTGCACAGCACAATGAATAGTCTGCGCTTTCCCCACCGCCGGGATCGATATAAGAATTTTGGCGTTATAAGCTGAGCCATCGGAGAGGAGTGGAGTTTCTTAGTATTAAATTTAAATACGAAAGAAATATATATATATACATTTTTTTATTTACTTAAAGCCGTTATGTCAAGCTTGATTGTTGCTGACACTTAAATATGTGAACGACGGTCAACCAGCTTTTACTTTGGTTACCCAAGTTCCGCATTGCTCAAAACTATATGTCAAAATTAATATATCATAACTATCAAATGTATACGTAGATATCATACATTTGTGTATTCTATTAATTTTGATAATTTTATATACATGTAAGGCTAATTTTAAGATTCTCAATGGTCGAATTCTTGAAGTAGAAACGAGAGCTCTGGAACTTCAAAGGCAAATTAAATTTACCACATTGAAATTCTGTAAGAAAATGCCTCGACCTCTATTAACAAATTCAATGTTTAAAAGTATTTGGTATGTTATATAAATGTACCCTTACTATCGATGGTTACTCACAAAATACCTAAAAATAATTTCATAATTTTCGCACAAAAAGCTATTTGTCCTTAGTTTGAAGTGATAGTTTGTTTGTTTTGAATTTCGCGCAAAGCTACACGAAGGCTAACTGCGCTAGCTGTCCCTAATTTAGCAGTGTAAGACTATAGGGAAGGCAGATAGTCATCACCACCCACAGCCAACTCTTGGGCTACTCTTTTACCAACGAATAGTGGAATTGACCGTCACTTTATAACGCTCCCACGGCTGAAAGGGCAAGCATGTTTGGTGGGACGGAGATTCGAACCCGCAGATTGCGAGTCGAGCTCCCTAACCACCTGGCCATGCCGGGCCAGAAGTGATAGATTAGATGGAATACAACTACCCAACAGCACCCACCACCAACTCTTGGGGTATCGTTATCTGGCAGAATAGTGGAATCTCACCCTCACTCTAATAATGCAACAATGACCAGAAAGTGCGGAGAGCGTTTTTGCCACGCTCGGTCCCATTTTACAAAATGTTGCTGAGATCTGTTGAATATTTTATAGAATCTAAGTTTTGAGCTTCTTCATCTTGAAAATTTTTAAAACTTATTTTACTGTGTAAAATTTATGAGATTTCATTAAGTCAAATTTCGCTATGTAAGCAAAGTGTAAAACTAGACTAGGTTCCCGTCCTTGATATGTAGAAAATCTAAATACTACATACGAAAAATGAAAGTCAGGAAATTATAATAAGATGTAAATATATTTATATTCAAAACTTGATCAAAATGATGGATGAAACGCCCATTAAAACAGTTTTATTTTTAAAATGTTTAGAGCCTACGTAGTATAAATATCTTCTACAACTTCGACATCTTGGGGCATTTTTCCATGTCATTAAAAACACAGAACTGGGATTAAATTTTCATGTTGTTTTCCCCCAGAAGTCCCTCTCTCTACCACTGCAAAAGCTTTCTTGATTATTTATATCATTTTAATAGTATACTGAGGTCATTCTAGTGTGTATGTTTAGGCCCTAAACTTCAGGGGGTGAAACTGTAGTCTTTGAACTATAGATGGCTAGTCACACACACACTAAAGAAGTTTACGTGCAGGTGGCACGAGGAGGGAAAGTTGTTATTTTGTCCTTTCTGTGGTTATACGTTTCGTTTGAGTTGGAAACAGCTGTGGCAACATTTCCTATTCACCCGCAAAATTAATCAATGATATTATACCGGATGATTCATTCGAGGCCAAGAACTAAAGAACAGTAATTTGTTTCAAAGTCATTGCTAAACTGTGAAATGTGATATCCTTTTGTATGTTTTATTAATTAACACATTCATGAGCAAGCCATTGGGAAAACACAAATGTGGGCGTGTGAACACTTTTTCTAGGTGGTTCTTGACGTTACAGCCTTGTTTAAATGTAAATTAGAAAAGCACATTTCCTGTAAACATACAGATCTCATTACAAATCGCCTCCTGCTGGGAAATGAAAACTGAAAACACATGGCCTTACTTAAATTCGAAGAAAACAGACGGCACTTATTCAATCAACCAGAGCGACGAGCTCTAATTTGCAGACAGCTATGACGAGTATTAACGCTATACCACATCAATCAATATCCCTTTTAACAGTTGCTAATAAGATTAGTTTCAAATCTGTGAAATCAACCATATGTGTTTAAACAAATAGCTTATAAGAACGCACTAATATTCTTCATAAAACACTTTCAAAACAGTCTACGGTAATTTAATTCGATAAGTTAAAGGTTATACATACTGATCACAAACAAGAACGTGACAAACATAAATGATTAGTCCCGCCATTTCTCTGTGAAAATCAAAGCCCAAACCCTGTATGTACAGAGATTAATGATTTCAAAACCACAAGAATAATTTATCCGCACTTTATTCGTAGTGAAACATCTCAAATTCTACACACACACAAACAAAAACATGATGTTGCAATGTAATCTATTTTTAAAGATAAAGCCCTTACTATGATAATATGGTTTTTGTGTACTACTTTTCTTTCACACAAACCTGTTGGCAGGACCGATGTTTTGTGACGCAGTACAACCTGAGGCAGGTTGAGGTTGAATGAAAGAAGCTTCCAGGTTGTCAACCTTTCCCTCCACGGTAACTTCACACAATTCTGGAAATTTGCCATCTGCGACAAAAAAGAGGAAAAAACTAAGTTATATATATATATTTAACCACCAATAAATAAGACATAAGGGCGCTTTTGTGTTCCTAACCTCTATCCTAGACATCAGTGTTTTTGTGTTCCTAACCTATATCCTAAGCAACAGAGTGCTTTTGTGTTCTTAACCTCTATCCTAGACATCAGTGTTTTTGTGTTCCTAACCTCTATCGTTGACATCAGAGAGTTTTTTGTGTTCCTAACCTCTATCGTAGACATCAGAGTGCTTTTGTATTCCTAACCTCTATCATAGACATCAGATTGCTTTTGTGTCATAACCTTTAAAATAGTTTTTAGAATATTTTGATGATCCTAAACTTTATCGTAGACATTTATTACAATGTTTTTGTTTTCATAACCTAATTCTAGAAATTGTCAAAATAATGCTGTCATGTGAGTATATTTAATCCGGATACTTATTAAACAACAACAAACATGGCATCAATAATCTTTAGACTAGATATACACCGGAGAGACGTTGTGCACATATCTTTAAAAGTTTACTAGACTTTTTCTATGGCGAAGAAAAACATGCGTCTTAAACAGATATAATAGTTAAGTTCAAGTCAACTCATTATTTTCAATTGCTATTGACTATAAAATTAAAAGTAGTCTCACGGGTCGACATTCTTTCGAGACGAGTTTAGAGTGTGAAAAAGGTCCTAGAGTACTGACTACGTTTAGCTGTGGCATATCGGTTCATAGAATGGCTCCGAGTTTTTTGTCTGTTTTTTCAAGTACAAACTTTTAGCTAATAGCTTCGTCATCTCTTGGCCGATGTGAGATCTAATTACAGTTTTCGACTCAAGAGGTCGAACCCTTTCGATTGATGTATTTGACCACGCTCAAGGTCTCAGATTAATTTACTCTAATCCTTTCTAGAATAATTCCAAGTGCCGCGACTACTGATGTTTCCCTCTTGTTTCTATATGCATATATAAATACTCATTTTATAAATATATATGGATCAATACAGACATTCAAGCAGAAATTGACCAGCATTTTGAGTCAACAGAATGCCGCCGCAGTGTGCATGAATGTTTCGCCCGGACACTCATGCATCCACTGGAGTGACGTTGAACACTTACTAGGATTCTTCAACAGCGAAGTTAAATTTGTTCCTTCGGTTGAAACGAAAATCATCTCAGTTTTGTTGTAGTATGAATATGGTAAAAGAGCTGAAAAATGCGCTAGAAAAATCAAACAAAAACCAGTTTTTTTTTTATAATACACGTCTTTAAAAAAGGCGTGGGATTAAAAACAGAAAAGTTAGTTTCATGAGGCGTCAAAGATTCCTTGTATAAATTAGAAAAACACTGTAAAAACAACACGTTGAAAAAGTGGTTCCTCAAGTCATTCATCCATATCATCTGATGACGTTAAACAAACCGTGAAACAGCGCTTGAATTGAAAGAAATATATAAAATAGTTCTTTATATGCATGGAGAATAAAAGATGTTGGGTCGAGGTTTACTGACCGTAAAAATGCATGGGAATATTTTTATGTTACTTTTATAAGATCATGAAATAGAACATCAACAAAGTACAATATATTTTAAATGAAACACACACATTGTATGATAATGCTTATTCATCACAATGTTGTACTAAAGAAATGGTTAACCGTTTAAAAAAACATGAAACTTAAAACAAAAAATGTTATATATAAGTGTTGGAGAAATGTCGTGAATATATTAAGGATTTCTTTGTTTTCTTAGTGCATATAACCCGTAAAGGAACCGCTGGTCCATAAAAAGAAAACAAAACTGTATATATACACACATACACACACACCATCATATGAACATACACGTTTAGCATATCTGAATTTGAATCTTGAAATAAACAGGTACTTAAACTACATTTGTCATACCGTTTGGTCACAGAGAGGGGGGGGGGCTCTCGTTACTTAAAGCAAAAATTAGTGCATATATATATATATATGTTCGGGGGAGTGTTACTAATCGTATAGATATTTATTGTTCAGAAAACATGACATTAAAACTAAAACATGAGTCACGAGGTTTGAAAACGTCAAAAACATTTACCTACTCTTGTTGTCATGGTTATTAGCCTATGTTACTTCGTTTTATCTTGGCCATACTTATAGTCCAAACCAAACTATGTAACGGTAATAAAATATTAGTGTGATGAAGTGGTCCACGTACTCTAAAAGCATATTGAAATAACACTTGAACAAAATCAGCATCAAGATCTTCAAAAACAGTCAACTGTACTAACTGACCACTTCACAACTGCAAAGAGATATTCTATTGTCCTCTATTTTATATCGCTGAGTGTGTTAAGAAAAGTCAAAGCTTAAAAAGGGAAACAGGAGTGAAAACTAGTTTCAAATCAGAATACATCTGTATGAACAACTACGATAAAACAGCAACAACAACGAATACTTATGGAATTTCAATTGAAACAGACGATGAAATTATCATATTTTACACAAAGTATACCTGAATACAATGTTTCCAAGACATCAGTACCTCCTGAAAAGTATCGGGAGTAAATTACGGCAGTGGTGAACCTGGGGAGGGGGAGGGGGGGGTCCAAGGAATTCCCCACACTTTTCCAATGCAAAAAATAAAATTGAAGGAAATAGTAAAACATTAAATACAAATAAAGAGAAAAAAAAACTGAAATGCGAGTGATGGAAATGCTATATCTAATTGTTTTCTGGGATCAGTTATGATCATATTGTTGTATTGAATGGCATCTGAACCGTCTGATAGTGATAAAGGATATATTCTTCCATAATATTATGATCGATTTAAAAACCCACCACAGGTCTTTGAAGGAGCCCTTTTCAACGGTATGACTATCAAACACTCCACCCCTCTCTCTAGCCCATCTGTGAACAACGCTTGATTTAACTCAGTTCTGGGGTTCACTTCTAAATCTTGACTCTAGCACCCAGTTCCACAAAGGAAGGAAAACATGTTCTCAGCGCTAGCAGAAAGTACTGGTCATTGCTAATTTGCAAATGTAAGTGACCGGCAAAAATCGATAAAAAGAGGCAGGAATCAGACAAGGGGTCTACCCCTGAACAGAGCACAGATTTTGTTTCCCTCAAGGAAAAACAAATATATATTGTAATGAAAACTGCAAAGAACTCAATAGTTTCTCTTCTGAACTCTATGGTTCCATTTACTTAAAAGAGAAAAGATAATCAGAGACAGATTTAAAAACTAACCATACTGGATAAGGTTTACTAACCAGACATAACCAATTAGAACTATAACCAATACCTTTAACGTTGGTACACATTTTGAAACTTTCAACTGAAGATGGTAAACAAAAAATAAAAAAGGTGATTGCGCTTTTAAAAAAATCGCCCAATTTCACTGGGTTATTCTTCATATATATATATATCAACACTGTTATTATACACTAGGTATAAAATAAAGAAGTGCTCACAAGGTCTCAGGCAATCCTCTTGCATCAGTGGACACAATGAAGCACATTTACTTTGGTCTCTAACCACCCTGTTTTCTTTCTCTTTAATACATTTACACAAAACAAAGTGAAAATGAGTAAACTAAAATAAAAACTTTGGTTCTCTCTAAAACTACTAGGCCCGGCATGGCCAGGTGGTTAGGGCGCTCGACTCGCAATCTGTGGGTCGCGGTTCGAATCCCCGTTACACCAAATATCTCGCCCTTTCAGCCATGGGGCGTTATAATGTGACGGCCAATCCCACTATTCGTTGGTAAAAGAGCAGCCTAAGAGTTGGCGGTTGGTGGTGATGACTAGCTGCCTTCCCTCTAGTCTTACACTGCTAAATTAGGGACGGCTAGCGCAGATAACCCTCGCGTAGCTTTGCGCGTAATTCAAAAACAAACTATTTCTCTTTCGCAATAACTAGTTCACATATAAGCACAACCAGAAAGTCACCTGCAAAATCTAAGTCATAGTCACTTTTATCAAGTGAATATTTTAGCTCTTGATGTGGAAGTTTCGATACAACATCAAATTCTAAGAGATGCGTGGTATACCTCACCAATATACATTTAAAATATTTTTATATCTTCTGCCCTGGATATCACTCAGCCTTAAGACGAAAATTATTCTATACTTCAACAAATATCAGACGAAATGAATATATCATAGAAACTATATTATATATATATTTAATATAATAGAAATCGACTATACGCTTGCCAAAAGTATTCATGTTTATTTTTCATGTTTTCTATTGCAAGTCAAATCTTTCAGATATATAATATATATAACCGAGACCCGAAAGAACAAGATAAAGATGCTACCATTACAAGCAAACCTTAAAAAGAGCCCATTAAACTCCATAAGAGAACGATAAAAACCGCACTTCTGGAATCTAGAATCGCTTTAGTACCGTCAAATTTCCCGACTTTTTTTTTCTACTCTCTCTCTCTCCGATATTTCTCATAATATACGGGTATATCTATCTTTTTTACCATAACCTTTGTTACGGTTGGTTTATGTCTTATTTTTACTGTACGACACTTTTTTTTCTTGGGCTCTTAAGTTATTTTCTAACTACACTATCATTTCATTATCGCCACGAGATTGTTGAAACTGTCTGATTTCACATTGTTGATCATTTTATCATCGCCATGACATTGTTGAAACTGTCTGATTTCACATTGTTGATCATTTTATTATCGCCATGACATTGTTGAAACTGTCTGATTTCACATTGTTGATCATTTTATTATCGCCACGAGATTGTTGAAACTGTCTGATTTCACATTGTTGATCATTTTATTATCGCCATGACATTGTTGAAACTGTCTGATTTCCCATTGTTTATATTCTCGCTCTTGCTTTTTCTTTATTTCTGCATTTTCCTCCACTCACTTTTTTCTTCATCACAACTTTGCTTTTACTTCTTGCTATTAGCAAGTAATTTTTAGCTTATTCGTAAACGTGCTGTGTTTTTCAATAATATTTGCTTTTTCTATTTCACTTTCCTTAAA